AAGTTTGGTCAGCCTAAGACTACCCTTCTTGAGAGCAACAGGGAAGGTATGGGGGAGGGGAGGCTTCCCACAGTGATGAGGCCTTAATCAGCTACAGGTTATGGTTCAGAGTAGGCAAGGGCTCAAAGAAGAAACCAGGAATTTTCAATTAATGCCCCAAGGCAGGGCTGCCACTCCCCCCACCCCCCACCCCCATACAGAACAAGTCTAAGTAACAGCCCTGATCTGAATAACTCCTGAACCATGGCCTGACTGCAGGCCTTTCCCTGGTTCCTCATTTCTAATCCCTTCTTCCTCCCAGGATTTTCCTTTAGACACAGTGCTTGTCAAGTCCCCTGAGCCTGGAGAAGAATGGCAGCTCCTTGTTTGCACACTTGTTAGAACCATGGCAACCAGTTCCCCGTCATAGGCTAATGATGTGGCTCAGCAACTAATCCGAGCTAAGGAAGCCCAGATGCCATGGAGACAGGGTTTCTTTGAAAGGAGGAGGGCCCGGAGCACCTCTGAGGTGCAGGTTGCCTCCACATGGAGGGAGCTTCCCAGCTCTGCTGCCACTATCTTAGTCCAAGGCACGACCAGATCCTACCTGGACATTCAATAGCCCCAAACAGACCTGTTTCTACTCCTGATCATTTCATAGCAACATCAGTGTGTCTTCATAAAACATTTATTTCATCATGCTACTCCTTGCCTTCAAATCCCCAATGATTTCACACCGCACAGTCCAAACTCCTGCCCACAGACTCCAAGCCCTGAAGTAGTCCTGGGCCTATTCTCCAAGCTCTTCTCTGACCACTGGTTGTTCTGTCTGGTCCTCTAACATGCCCTAGAATTCTCACTGAAGGGCAATTATACCTGCAATTCTCTCTGCCTTGGGGACTCTTCCTCCAGATCATCCCCTGGCTGCCTCCTTGTTGTCATTTAGGTCTCAGCTCAAATGTCCTCCTTAGAGAGACTTTTGTGGTAATTAAGGTTGTGTCAACTTGGCTGATCCATGATTCTCAATGGTTTGGCAGTAATGATGTAGTTTGGCAGTTGTACAATGATGTACTCATTTCCATGATGAGAGGTGATATCATGTGATCACCTCTATGATGAGATCTGCTATGAGTAGCCAATCAGTTGAAAGGGAGTTTCCTTTGGGGTGTGGTCTTCATCTAATACATGTGGACTTCTGGCAAAGCTCACTGGCTTTTGCTCTGCTCTGGATCCTGCATTCGGCTCGTCAGCATCTGACCTCCAGTTCCTGGGACTTGAGCCTGCAGCCTGCCATCTGACCTGTGGATCTTGGGTTCATCAGCCCCTGCAGCTTCATGAGTCAGGAGAAGCCTCCAGTCTGATGCCTGACCCATGGACTTGGGACTTGTCAGCCTCTACAACTGGGTGAGCCATTTCCTTAAGATAAATCTCTCTCTCTCTCTCTCCTTATTGTGGGGGAGTCTGATGTGTGAAACAGCCCAGTCTCCACTGGGGTTCTTCAAAGGAAGGTGGGAGCTGTACAACAGAATCACTGGAAGTCAGGAGACCTGGGTCCAATCCTGGCTCCACACCTGACCAGTCCGGACCTCTGTTTCTCATCTATGAAGACAGATGGAGGTGCTAGATGGATGGTTTTCTATTTAGGTTCCAAAGGCTCAAGGATCCCAAGGAGATGCCTCAGAGTTGTGCCAGGTGACCTGCCCAAGATAAGAACCAGGGGGAGGCTGAGTGTGAGAGTTCTGGGCCCCCCTCCTCTATTTAAGGAGAGAAGTATTGTTCCCATCTGTTAAATATATGGGAATGTGGAGGGGAAGATAGGGATTAGTTTATACTCAAGATTCTCTTAGAAAAACAGAGAGCCTGTCTGTTTTTAAAAAATTTGGAAACCTCTGAAGTAGATTTCTGCAGGCCCATCACACTGAGTACTTGTGTTTGGGTGGGCTGAGCTGAGATGAATGTTCCCTCTCTGCTTTTTAAGATATCAAACCACCAGGGAAATAGCTATCAAAATGATAGATGTACTGGAACCCAAGCTTGAGTAAGGACAGTGTTGACATGTAGTGGGGTTGTTAACTATTGCCATAGGGCAATATGTGTACTGTTTAATGAGAAACTATTCTGTAAACCTTCATCTAAAGTGAAAACAGCAGCACAACTGGAAAAACGTAATTGATGTCACTGAATTGTACATGTAGAAATTTTTGAAATTTGAAATGGTGTATCTTTAGCTATGTATATTTTCACCAAAAAAAAAAAAAAAGGTCCTCCAAGGTTGAGAAGGGAGAGAGTTGACATGTCGTGGGGTTGTTAACCAATGTCATAAAACAATACGTGTACTGACTGTTTAATGAGAAACTATTTGTTCTGTAAACCTTCCACCTAAAGTACAATAAAAAAAAAAAAAATAGATGTGCATGTGCATTGATACTGCACTTCTTCTATGCACTGCAGGTGTGTTAGGAGAAATCTCTGGAGGGAGCCCTAATGCTTAGAGTAACACCCTCAGAAGACAGAGTAGGTTCTTAAGTTCTCTCTTACAGAGTGAGCAGCCCTTAGAGATCCTCAGCACCTGCATCATGCCCTGCGGAGTTCTATGGACGGCCCCAGAGTGCCTGTGAGAGACAGGAAGCGCAGGTGCCCTCCACTGGGAGAAAGGAAGAACTTTCCTTTAATCCGCAACCACTACGTGCCAAGCCATTTATCATACATTGTCTTTAATCCTCACAGCAACCCTACTCCACAGACATGGAAGAAGAGACTGGAAGAATTTAGGTAATGTGTCCAAGGTCACAGCTGGGAAGTGGCAGAGCCAGGACTGTACTGAAAGCCCTGATCCTTCCCATCCACCAAGCCCACCCTTCCCCAGAAGGTGGTCCACCAGGCAGAGCCCTCAATGAAGGCCAATCATTCTGCACTCAGCCAAAGTCTATCCCCTGCTTTGCACTTGCCTTACTCTTTCAAAAGGCCCTCGGTGGGCTCAACCTTCCTGGATAAGGCCAGGCCCTCAACTGCAGCTGGACTTTGGCATGGCTGGCTGCTTCTTAGTTCAGGACGTCTGAAACCACTTCAGAGGCAAAGCATTGCTCCCTTTTCACGCTGGTCACTGGGCTGTGAGGAGGGAAGCCAGGAGTCAAGGGTGAAGAGAAGGTTGTGAAAGGGCCCAGAGGGAAAGAGATAAGGCTCAAATGAAGGATTTCAAAATCTTTGAGAGTCCAAGTTTCTTCTCCTGCTTGTCCCTAGAAGAAGATTAAGCCAGGGACAGCAAATAGGAGCTGTGCTTTCAAGACTCACCTCCCATTCCTTTGCAGAAATCACTAATGGATCACGGTACTCTTTCCTGCTGAAATCAGACTGGAGTTCTATCATTGTACTCGCTGTGCTCCCGACAGCTCCTACCTACAGCCCTAATATCCATCCCCTTTCTTCTGTCCACCAGACACATGCAGCATGGACCCACCACAGGCCTCACACACCTCATCCCTGGAGCTCTGGCAGGAAAGGCTGCCTCTCCCTCCCTCTGGGCACGTGAAGCCTGGGCACGTGCTCCATTTTCTGGGTCCTCACATCTTGATTGACGTCATCCCTCCAGAAAAGTCCTGCAGGGTGAAAGGATGGCGTGAGTTAACACTTGGGACAATCTAATTGGCTCAACGCAGAAACCGGAGGTGATTCTAATTTCTTCTTTCCCCAAAGTCATAGGGACTACAGAGCAGAGGGTCATCGGAGGACTCCAGAGACTGGTTGGGGTACAGAAATTTGCGTTTTGCCCATCCTCAGCATTTGAATCCCAGCTCTTATTAGCTCTGTGACCCTGGGAAACTTCCTTAAACTTGCTGAGCCTCAGTTTTCTCATTCATAAAATGACTAACTTAATAGGATGCATACACATTTCTTAGCAGTGTTTGGTATGTAATAAATGAGCAAAAGGGAATTTGATGATGCTGTTGTCGTAATGTATCTATACAACGGAATATTATACAGCAATAAAAACGAATGAATGAACCCTGAAAACATGTTAAGTGAAAAAAGCCAGGTACAAAAGGCCACGTATTGTATGATTCCATTTATATGAAATGTCCAGAATAGGTAAATCCACAGTGACAGAAAGTAGATTGGTGGTTGCCTAGGGCTGGGGCGGGGGGGGGGGGGGGGGGGGGGGTGTTGAGGGGAGGGGGGAATGGGTAGTGACTGCTAAAGGGCATGGAGTTTCTTTTGAGGGTGATGAAATGTTCTAAAAATTAATTGTGATGATGGTTGTGCAACTCTGTGAATATGCAAAAACATATTGTACGCTTTAAATGGGAGAATTGTATGGTATGTCAATTATATCTCAATAAAGTTGTTATTTTTAAATTAAATAACTGGAAGATCAGTGAGAGTAGATCAAAGAAACACAGTACAAATAGTATCTTAAAAGTCACCTAATCTAAGCCTCTTGATCACAGATGAAGAAGCTGAAGTCAAGAGAAGTTACTTGGGCAAAGTTCCAATGTCCTGACTCACAGGCTAGCATTTTTCACTAATTCATAAGACACAATTAAAAAAAAGAAAGAAATCAACTAATAAATTTAGCTTAGCAAAATGAAAACATTATAACGTTATAAAACTCTTCCATAACTTTGGGCATTTGAGAACCACTAGCATGATTTTTATTAAAAAAAAAATTATTTTTTAAACATGGAGGCCCCAGCACCCTACTGCGAGGGAAAGGACTTCTGGAGGTGGATTGTGTCCCTGGGCAGCTCTCCCAGGGCTGATAGGAAAAGGAACCGACCCTGGGCACAGCTCCTACTGGCCCCAGCACTGAAATCCTGGACTGGCACGGCCAGGGCTTGCTCTGGAGGTGGCTCCCAAAGACGAGAAGGTGAAAGGAGCGAGGCATTTGTTCAGAGCCTGACCAGCCCTGCCCCCTATCCAGCACTCTGCGAACCCACAACGCCGCAGGGACTGCTCTGCGTTGGTCTCCACACTCTAGGACCGGGCGGAGGAGCGGGCGCTAGACTAGGGACCGGAACCTTTACCCACGTGGCCCACGCGCCCCCTCGCCCGGATGTGGGGTAGGTGCTGACGTCCCGGGATTCAGAAGGTGCGTCTCCGCTGGGCGGGGCAGAGAAGTACAGCCCCCCTCCTCCCCGCCCCTTGTAGGATCTGATGGCGACAACCAGCCGCACCAGGCTCAAGGAGACGTCCTGGCCCCTGACCAGGCGCCGTGTTTCCCCCAGGTCAGGACCGAATGCCGCAGACGCCGATCCCTCTGCGCAGGTCACCTTGCGGGGGGCCTCTGCGCGTCTGGGTTCTCCCTTGCCCCGCCCCGCCCGCAGCGCGTTCTGTGTCCTTTGGCCCACTAGGAGGCCCCCCCCTCCACTCCTCCTGCGGAACCCCCAGTCTTTCTTGAGCCCGCTTCTCTTAGGTCCCATCACGATATTCCGATTTTTCAACCCGAGCCTAAACCCCTTCCTCCTGATGCCCTCTGCCTTTCTCCCCCACTCCATATTTCCCCGAGCTCTGAGCTTTGCCACTTCTCAGGGTTGCTCCATGCCCTTCCCCTAGGCTTCGTCCCAGCTGTCGTGGACAGCTGCTCAACAGCAGGAAGCAAAGAATCAGACGCATCCGCAAGACCCACCGGCACCCCCACCCCGCCCCACACGAGGCCGGTGTAGACGCTGCATCTTCTTCTATTGCGCGGCGCCGGACTTTGTGGCCCACGCTCCGCGTCCTGAACCGCAGCGATGGTGGCCGAGGCGTGTCTGCGCGCCCCTTTTGCAGCTGCTCGGCCAATCGCGGGCGGGTGGTAACAGGGCCCCCAACCTCGTTCTGCCCTGTCTTGGCGTCAGAGGCCGGTTTTTAAGAATGGGCTGCCTCCTGAATACAGTTGACCTCTCTCTAGAATCCCACTGGACATTCTCTCCCTTCAGAAGCATCACCTGCATCCTCGCCCCCCTCCCGTTTTATCACCAAGGTTTAATGATGGAGGGAGGACTTGATAAAATCCATAAATTGGGAGAGTAAACCCTAATCAGTAGGCACTGTTATCCACATTAGCAAATGGCCCTTGGGTATCATTCTTGAAAAGTGGTGTCCTATCCTGTACTTGGGTACTTGTGAAGATAGTGTGCTTGGAGTAAGACTGCCTGGGATCAAATCCAAGTACTGCAGGCAGCTTTTTAACTTCTCTATGCTTAGTTCCCTCATCTATTAGATGACAGTAGTATCTAGCTCATAGTGTAAGGAGCTCTGGTGGTGCAGTGGTTAAGCACCCATCTGCTAACCAAAAGGTGGCGGTTTGCCGGAGAAAAGACCTGGCCATCTGCTCCGGTGAAGACTTACCGCCTAGGAAACCCTATGGGGCAGTTCTACTCTGTCCTATAAGGTCACTGTAAGTCGGAATTGACTCGAGCGCACACAACACACACGCAGACACACAGCTCATAGTGTTCTTAGGAGGATTAATGAGTTTAATATCTGTGAAGCATTTAGAAATAGGGCTGGCAGTAGTAAGCCCTCAATTACCCTGAGCTATTGTTGTGCTTGATTCTGTCTACCACTGGCATCTCCTATGCATTGTTATGGTTTTCCCTGCAAAAGTTTTCTCAAGTCAGTCCACATTTTTTCCAGACCCAAGGCCACCACCCTGGCCTAAAACACCATCGTCTTTTTCCTGTTACTGCAATTACGTCTCAACTAGTTGCTTGGAATAACTAATGATTTGGTGTAATGGTTTCCTAGGGCTGCCATAACAAATTACCACAAACTGGGCGGTTTAAAACAACAGAAATTTATTCTCTCCCAGTTCTGGAGGACAGTAGTCTGAAATCAAGTTGTCTGCAGGGCCATGCTCCCTCTGAAGGCTCTAGGAGAGAATCTTTCCTTGCCTCTCTTCTAGATTCTAGTGGTTGCAAGCAATCCTTGGTGTTCCTCAGCTTATAGCTGCATCACTTCAATCTCTGCCTCTATCTCCACATAGCCTTCTTCCCTCTGTGTGTATATGTGTCTCCAAATCTCTCTCCTTGTAAAGACGACATCAGTCAGTCATTGAATTTAGCTCTCCCACCCCCAAATCCAGGATGATTTCATCTCGAGATACTTAACTAATTACGTGTGCAAAAGCCCCATTTCCAAATAAGACCATATTCTGAGGTTCTGGGTGGACACGAATTTTGGGGGGACAATATTGTCACAATCCACCAGACCAGTGGCAGGAGTGGCTCCAAGAGGCAACGGGTCAGAGCCCAAAAAAGGGGGTGGAAAAAAGCCAGGTTGATCAGATCTAGCTTTTATTAGGGAACTTACAGACAGAGATCGGCACCAAGATTCCTGCAACAGACAGCGATGCACCAAGTCACCCTGGTAGAGGTCCTGCATGGAATGGGGGTTTATATACTTTGTGTTTAGGTGCAGGAGACCCATGGAAAAACATGTCTGATCTATGATGGATGGTTGTTTTTGTATTAGTTAATGGGTTCCAGTTGACATTACCATGAAGTCGGGTGTTTGGTGTGTTTTTCCCTGGCCTAGGTCACAGCTCAGTAAGTAAAGTACTCTGGTTCTCTCCCAGAGTCCTTTGCAGGCAGGATCCATCTTGCATCGTCATGGCCCTCTCACACTGTTCAATCCACTACATGCAGAATGTATTATTTTGTGCTGGCTTCTTTTGTTCAACATTATGTTTTCAAGATTTAGCCATGTTGTTGAATATAACTATATTTACTTTCCTATATAGTCTTCTACTGTATGATCACATTGTATTACAATTAGAGGTGCATATACTGTGAAGTTAATGAATCTTCAGCTTCAGGGGTCCTCACTTTCACAAGTCCCTTCCAAGGATCTGGGAGGGACTCTAGCAATGTGTTCACATGATAAAATATTTTTGTATGATATGCAAAAGTAATTTGTTGTATTTTCTCATTTTAATTATGCCTTTTTCTTGCCTAACTGCTTGGCTAGAATCTCCCGTACAATGTTGAATACAAGTGGCAAGTGCAGAGATCCTTGTCTACTTTCTAATCTTAGGGGGAAAGCTTTCAGTCTTCACCATTCAGTATTATGTTAGCTGTGAGTTTTTCATAGATGCCCTTTATCAGGTTGAGGAAATTCCCTTTTATTTCTAGGAGTTAAAGATTTTTATCATGAGAGGGCATTAGGTTTTGTCACATGCTTTCTCTGTGCCTGTTGAGATGTTCATGTGGTTTTTGTCCTTTATTTTATTAATATGGTGTATTACACTGATTAATTTTCATATGTTGAACCTAGGATAAATCCCACTTAGTCATTGGCTTAGTCTGAGTTCTCTAGAGGAGGAATACCAGTGAGACATATATAGATACACATGTAGATGTAGATGTATGTGTAGATATATAGATATCTGTCTAGATTTCTTTCTCTCTCTCTCTCTGTATATATATAGATTTACTCTATACTGATACAGATATCTATCTAGATCTGTCTCATATGTGTGTGTGTATATATAGATACACGAGAGAGAGAGAGATTTACTTCAAGGAAATAGCTCATGCAATTGTGAGGGTTAGTGAATCCAAAATCTGCAGATCAGGCGGCAGGCTGGAAACTTCTACAGGCTTATGTTGGAGGAACTGGAAGTCAGGCCATGAGAAGAGTGCAAGATTGAGAGAGAACAAACTTTGACAGAACATTTACATACTGGAGGCAAGCCACACCCCCAAGGAAACTCCCCTTCCAACTGATTGGCTGATCACATTGGATGACATCATGGAAAGTGATTACATTATATTACATTGTGGAAGAGCAACCTGTCCAGTATCTGCCAAACCACTGAGAATCATAGCCTAGCCAAGTTGACATATAACATTAACTGTCATAGTCATGGTGTATTTATGGTGTTGGTAAAGAATACTGAATATACCATGGACTTCCAGAAGAACAAACAAATCTGTCCTGGAAGATGTACAACCAGAATGCTCCTTAGAAGCAAGGATGGCGAGACTGCGTCTCACGTACTTTGGACACGTTATCAGGAGGGACCAGTCCCTGGAGAAGGACATCATGCTTGGTAAAGTATAGGGTCAGCGAAAAAGAAGAAGACCATCAACAAGATGGATTGACACAGTGGCTGCAATAGTGGGCTCAAACATAGCAATGATTGTGAGGATGGTGCAGGCCCGGGCAATGTTTCTTTCTGTTGTACATAGGGTTGCTATGCATCAGAACTGGCTTGACAGCACCTAATAACAACAGTCATGTTGTGTGATCTTTTTTTATTTATTGCTGGATTCAATTTGCTATTCATCTGTATGAACTCATATAGATGAATTTTCACATCTGTATTAGTAAGGGATGAATTTCTTCCCTGTTCTTTTCTTGTAATGGCTTTGTCTCATTTTGGTATCGGTAATACTGGTCTCATAGAATGAGTTGGGAAGTATTCCCTCCTCTTCTAATTTTTGGAAGAGTTTGTGAAGAACTAGTGTTAATTCATCTTTAAATGTTTGTTCTCATTCTAATATTTGCTTTCATACTAAATTTTATATTTGTAATTTTGTATTATTTTACATAAAGAGGGTCCCCAAACTAGATATGCTTCAGGCTCTACAAAAATGGAATCTGTCCCAGAATCCATTATATTATTTATGGACATTTGGGTTGTTTCCAGTTTGGGACTCTTATGAACAATGCTGCTATAAACATTCCTATACATGTCTTCTGATGCATATGCACATCAATTTATTGAGGGTATACAATAGGGTCTCTATGAGTCGGAATCCACTGGACGGCAACGGGTTTTTGGTACATTAGAGTAGAATGGCTGCGTTAGTGGGTATAATGCCATACTGATGTCCTAAACTGTTGCCAGCATACACTCCCACTAATATTGTATGAGAGTTCTTGTTGCTCCATGTCTTGGATTGAATTGTGTCCCTCCAAAATATGTGTCAACTTGGTTAGGCCATGATTCTCAGTATTGTGTGGTTGTCTTCCATTTTGTGATTGATGTAATTTTCCTATGTGTTGTAAATCCTAATCTCTGCCTGTGGTTAATGAGGCAAGATTAGATTATGTTAAAGAGGATTAGGGTGGGATGTAACACCTTTACTCAGGTCACAGCCCTGATCCAGTGTAAAGGGAGTTTCCTTAGGGTGTGGCCTGCATCACCTTTTATCTTAGATAAAAGGAAAGGGAAGCGAGCAGAGAGTGGGAGGAACTCATACCACCAAGAAAGCAGCGCTGGGAGCAGAGCACATCCTTTGGATTCGGGGTTCCTGTGAGGAGAAGCTCCTAGTCCAGAGGAAAATTAATGACAAGGACCTTCCTCCAGAGCCAACAGAGAAAGCCTTCCCCTGGAGCTGACGCCCTGTATTTGGACTTCTAGCCTCCTAGACTGTGAGAGAATAAACTTCTGTTTGTTGATGCCATCCACTTGTGGTATTTTTATTATAGTAGCACTAGATAATCAAGACACTCCACATCCTCACTGATACTTGGTATAGTCAGATTTTAAAATTTTAGCTAATGTTGGTATAGTGGTGTCTTATCACAGTTTTATTCTGTATTAGGTTAAACTGTATGAAATTGCCATTTTGTAGGTCAGAATGGTTGTACACTAGCAAATTCACTAGTCAATCTAATTTTTTCTGATGACTAATAAGTAGAGCATGTTTTCATATATTCAGTGGCTATTTGGATTTTCTCTTGTGTGAAGTGCCTGTCCAATCTTTTCCCCATTTTTCTTTTAGATGTCTGACTTTTCTTACTGATTTGTAGGTCTTTATATACTCTGAATATGAGCCCTGTGCCAGTTATATGTGTTGCAAAGATCTTCTTTCACTTCGTGCTTGTCTTCCAATCCTCCAGTCTTCCAAACAAACAAGAATCTGAGTGCGAGTAGTTTATTTGGGAGGTGTCTTAATTTTAATGAGGTCAAATCTACCAGTATTTTCCTTTCTGCTTAATATTTTTTGTTTCCTGTTTAAATCTTCCCCTACACCAAGGTCATAAAGATATTCTTCTATATTTTGTAAAAGCTTTACTGTTTTGCTATTTATATTTAGGTCTAAAATCCATTTGCAGTTGATTTTGCGTATGTTGGGAGGTAGGGTTCCAATTTAATTTTTCCATATGGATATCCAATTGCCAGAGCACAATTTATTGAAAAGACTATGTAAAGTGCCACTTTTGTCATAAATCAAGAATCCATACATTCACGGATGTCTGTTCAGTTCTATTGGTCAGTCTGTCCTTAAACCAGTAATATATTGTCTTAATTATTATACTTTATAATAAGCTTTGGCAACTGGTAGAGCAATCCTCATACTTTGTCTTCTTTAAAATTGTCTAGGCTATTTCCATATGTATTATAGAATCAGCTTGTCAACTCCCACAAAAGAAGAAAAAAAGAGAAGGGGAGAACCTGTTGACATTTTTATTAGGATTGCATTGAGTCAGTGTATCAACTTGGAGGATAACTGACATTTTTATAATACTGAGTTTCACAATCCATGAAGACGTCTTCCAAAGTATGTGCCTCTTCTTTATCTAAATGTTTTATAATTTTTCTATAGAGCTCTTGTGTATCTATTCATAGGTACTTGATTTTATGCTTCGTGGAAGTAATTTTTTAAAATTTCATTTTCTAACCATTCATTGCTGGTATATAGAAATAGAATTGATTTTTATATATTGATTTTTCAGCCAGCTATCTTGATAAAAACTCTTAATTCAAATGATGTATCTACTGGATTGTGTATATAACCAATCATACTAAAAGGAAGTTTTGTTCCTTCTTTCCCAATCCTATCTTTCATCCCTTTTCTCACTTACTACCTAAGGACCTACAGTACAATGTTGAATAGAAATGCAACAGCAGGCATCCTTGCCTCATTCTCAGTCTCAAAGGAATTCAAACTTAGTTTGCGTTTCCCCAGAAGCAGACCCTGAGACAGGGATCTGAGTGAAAGCAGTTTATTGGAAGGTGAAGGAGAGTAGGGAAGTGAGACAAGGGAGGGAAGACAACTGATAAAGAAGGGTGTGTTATCAGGCTTAATTCTGGAGCTGAATTCTGCTGGAGAGACTCTCGGAGCCAGTGCAAAATACAAACTTCAGAGTTAGCGTACCCACAATGTGAGGGAGCTGGGGTATCTATACACGTATTGCTTTCATACTAAATCTTATGTTTGTAATTCCATATTCTTTTACTCAGGATTTTTCTTTTTTTTTTAATTTAAGGAGAGTGGACATCCTTATCTTGTTCCTGATCTTAGGAAGAAAGCTTTCCGTTTTTCACCATTAAGTATGACATTAGCTGTGGGTTACATACAAACTCGTCAGTCATTGGTTAGGGCTGCTCTGGGGGATGCAGCATTAATTCCCTATACTTCCAACTGCCAGGTGAGTGGAAAACTGTGGGCAAGCAGCAAAAGAAAGCCCTCAGCAGACAAGTGCAGATATTGGCGCTGAAGTGGGGCTGTGTGCACTGAAGTGAGAGAGGAGATGGGTGGGGTGCTGACAGTGTCTTCTAAAAACATCTTCAACATTTTAATATTACAAAAAATATCTGCAATTGTTGAGATGGTATATGCCTTGTTATGTATATTTTCACCACAATAAAATTAAAAAATATACATATTGGATGTCCTTTTTGCAAATCTGGAATAAATACAAAATTTCCAAGGAGAAATTTCAAATAAAAACATTTTCAGTCTCCATAGGATAACAGCAACTGTCTAAATCCACATCTTTCTATACATCCTTGAAATCATTCAGCTCAACAAAAGGAGACGAAAGAAAAAAACCCACCCATAACCCAAGCTTACAGCCTAACTGCCCCATAGGGTTTCCAAGGCTGTAATCTTTACAGAAGCAGACTGCCACATTTTTCTCCCACAGAGCATAATTAGGAGATAGAGAATACCACAAGGTCTGATGGTTAAATGCTGCCACCCAGCCTCTGCTAGTCTGCAAACCTGTTATCACCACTGACACTAGCGGCAGGCTTCCTTACCATTAGCCCTAACCCGAGCACAGCCACCACTGGGTTTTTCAACCAGAGAGAGTCTTAGCAATTGTGATACTATAGCATGCCAAGGTTATCACCACCACACTTCCCATTAACAAATCAATAAAAATGCTGGTACTTAGGGGGAAAAAAAACCAAAAACCCCACTAAATAGACCAACCGCTAGCTAGCTTACACAAGAAAAAGAGGAAAAGGCACAAATACAAGATGGGTTGGTTGCGGGGGTGGGGGAGAGGAAACGAGGAAGAAAGGAAAGAAGGAAGGTTTTAAAAAAGAAATGACAAGGAGAAATTCTTAAACAGGAAAATTTGAGGGTGGGGGAGGGGCTGGAGGGTTAAAAAGGCAATGCTTGAGTTGGGATGTGAAGGAAAAAAGACAAAATGGGGTGGTGGTGGAGGTACTCAGAGGTAGGTGGAACTGCATGTCCACAGGCCTGGGACTGTGAGCCTGCTGGACATGACGGATCTGCAGTGGGTCTAAATTACTGGATTTTAGGGGGTGGGCCATACGTGGGAAAAATTGCCCAAATGAGACTGGAGAAGTTGGCAAGGAAATGCTCATGAAAGTCCTGTAGGTTAGAGTCTGTAGCTCAGGTGAGCTGAGCCTCAGTGTTGGAGCCGACTCCCTCTTGCAAGACTTCAAGCTACCAGGGACAATATGACAATACTTATCAACATTTTAAATATGCATACCTTTCAATCCCATAATTACATTTCTAGGAATTTGTCCTATGGGAAAAAATAAGTGTACAAGTGTCCAGTAATATATTCTGTATAAAGATATTTGTTTCAATGTTGTTTACAATTGTCAACAAGTGAGAAAAAAAATCTAAATGTCCATCAATAAAGGACTGAATAAATAATGGTACATCTTATGCATGCGGCTGCCATGCATCAGAATTGACTCGACAGCAGCTAACAACATACAATAAATAACTGTGCAACAATTATAAGGATAAATATAGCTTTAAGGTAAAACATTTTTTACATACTAACATATGAATACATTCTGTTGTACAAAGGAAAACATTACAAATAGGGCTAAGGCCCCTTTATCACTGTCATCCCAGAAAACCACTGTTAAAGTTTGATGTGCTTTTTTTTCTAGATATGCATATATACATTCCATAAAAATGTAATGTTTTGTGACACATGGGTTTTGCACAAATTGCATCAGTCTGCAATTCTGCAACTTGCTTTTTCCACTCAACAATGTCTTTGTGATCTCTTCATCTTAGGTTGATTCTAATTTTTTGCCATTGCCAAGTTGAAGCTGCATGTATTGATATGGAAATATCTGTACATCATATTAAATTAATGTTTAAAAAGCTAGTATGGTCACATTTATGTAAAAATTAAATTTTGCATAAAAAACCAGTTGCCATTGAATCAACTCCAACTCATGGCAACCCCATGTGTGTCAGAGTAGAACTGTGCACCATAGGGTTTTCAATGGCTGATTTTTCAGAAGCAGAATGCCAGGCTTTCTTCCAAGGCACCTCTGGAGAACTCGAACTTACAATCTTCTGGTTAGCGGCCAAGTGCATTAACTGTTTGCACCACCCAGGGATTTCTAAGTTTTTATACAGATTATCAAAAATTTTGGAAGAACACTAGTTAACACGATCATCTTGGTGGGAGGGTAGAAGTTGGTTTATAAGCAGACTCTGACTTTTCCTATTTTAATTTTTTCAATGATAAGCTTTTTCCCTGGTAATATATTAACCAGGGCTGCTCAGAAGTAGATGATGAAGGACAATGAAGCACAGACTGTGCTCTTCTCTTCGCAGTTCCTGGGAGGGGCAGGGCAGGTTGGAAATAGCCTTGGCTGTCCAGGCCAGCTCTAGAGGGGGCCTAACGTTGAGCGTGGAGACCTCAGAAGGCCGAGCTGGGCTCCTGGACTATTTTGATCTGGGGGATGGAAGCAGGAAGGGAATTAAAGCCACTGTCCAGGGGAAGGGAGGACTAGGGGGTGGGAGAAGAGATGATCTTCAAATTGTGGACCCAGCTCACCTTTCACCCACTTTAGGCATGAGCTCAAGAAAGAAAATAGGTTTGAAATCAGTCCTCCCCATCAGCTCCCAGGAGCTGTGGCCTCGTCTACTTGTACCCTAACTTCTCCCCTCTGTTATGGTTCCAGAGATTCAAGCCCGGCTTAACCTCGACCCCTCCAGTCTCCAAACAAGCCCAGCAGCATGAGTTTGAGTGAAAAATCTACTTTAATAAACCAGCTTCAGCTCAGCTGAGAACTTCCCCTCTTAGGAGCAAAGGGGTGGGAAGGGAAGTCTTTCCAAGAGGCTTCAATCCACTATCAGGTTGTGGCTCAGAGAAGGGAACAGCTCAAAAAAGCCCTAAAATGGAAGGCAAAGTGGGATTTGGAATGAGTGGGGGACGAGATGGAGATGCCCTGCAGCTCACCTCCCACCAACATAAACCCGGCAAGAAGCATACTTGTTTCACCTATTGCTTGACAACTGCCCCAACCTTCCTACCCCTGGTCCTCTCTCCTTCCCCTCATTATCCTTTAGCCTTTAGAAGAAAGGGGGACCCTTGCTTTCCTACATAACAACACCATGTCAACCAGCCCCCATCACCTAGGTCACCTAGGTCAGCCACTCAGTTGTGGCGATGTTGCCCCAGCAATCAATCCAGGTGCTAGAGGGGAAGGTGCCCAGCTGCCGTGGTGATGGGGTGGGGTGGGAGTTACCTTGAAGAGCGAGAGGGTCTGGAGTACTCCTGTGGTGCAGGCAGTCTCTCGGATGGAGTGCATGGCCAGTTGGGGGCTGCCCAAATCCAGTACCCGCAGCCCCAGCCGAGAAGCCAGGATGGGTCCAATGGTGGTACCACAGGGGGAGTCATTGCGGACCATGAGATCCTGGGAAGTGGGGAGAGGGGTGATGAACAGTGAACAGTGTGTGCGCATTAAGGCCAAGAGGAAAGTGATCTCAGAACCACCGCGCTGAAAGAAAGGGGCCTGGGAGATAGGTCTATCCCTAAGGAAAGGGGCCCTGGTGGCGCAATGGTTAAGTGCTCGGCTGCTAACCAAAAAGTTAGTGGTTTGAACCTACCCAGTGGCTCCATGGGAGAAAAGACCTGGTGATCTGCTCCCATAAGGATTATAGCTTAGGAAATCCTACCAGGCAGTTCTACTCTGTCCTACAGGGTCAGTATGAGTTGGAATAGACTCAATGCTATACAACAACTCCTCCCCGGGAGAATGGAAGTGACTGGATAAAATCACAAAGCCAACACTAAATGACAGACCTCAAAGCACAATACATTCTCAATAGGTCCAATTCTCGCATCCGCACTGCCACTACCTTAGCTTCCAGCCACTGTCACCTTGCCTCCCATAAATAATCCATTCTCCTAGGAGAGTTTAAAAAAATATTCACCACTATAGGTCACCCTCTTGCTTAGCCTTCCTCCCTCCCAAAGAAAAAGCACTCAGTAGTTTCAGTGTTTTTAAAAATACTGCTATTGACATTTTGAAACTATTTTCTTTATACTGTGATAAAAAGTAAACAAAGAAGCTCATAATAGTGATGTTAGGTAGCAGTATGTTCAGTGTAACAGAAAGGAGAATTACAGAATCAAATAAATTAAGTAACAACTGTTCTTATTCTTTGAATTAACATCCTCCCATAGCTGCCTCCTTCTCAATAGTTAGATCTCAGCTCTACCTGGGCAGCGCAGGGGCTACGCAGCAGAAAGCCCTGGGCTGCTGGGAGTCAGGATACCAGGGTCCTAGTTCTGACTCCACCAGGACTTGCTTGCTGTAAGGTGAGTCACTTGACCACCCAGGGCCCCTGACACACACACATGTACACACACATCAAAGAGAAGGAATTAGGTTATTTCCAAGGCAAGAAGAAAATGAGCAGTTAGGGGTCCAAGCTCCCCAGTCATGAACTTCCCTTATGGAAGCCACAGGGTGTGTAAGAAGGACACAGGATGACTGGGGGATGCAGGGTGGGAAAAGGGCAGGACTAACCCATTATACGCTAGGAGCATATCACACTTTTAATCCTCACAGAAATCCTGCAAAGTAGGCATCGTTATCATCCCCATTTTATAGATGTGGAAACTGAGACTCAGAGAGGTTAGGAGACTTGACCAGGGTCACATGGCTAGGGCCTCAACAGAACAGGCATTGAACCCAGCTCTGCCCGTATCCAAGAACTTCCATTCTCACTCTACTGGGACCACACCCACCTCCCCTACCACTAACGTCCTCTCCCAGGCTCCCCCTTATTGGGGGCCCATTAGATTGTGCACCCACCCTGCTCCCGCTGTCACACCTTCCCAGACAGGGCCCACCCTCACCTGCAGGGGTACTCCCACTTTGTTGGCCACCTCTCGGATCAAGGCCTCGGAAACCGCATTCGAGGCGTAGCGCTGCTTGCTGTTCACCTTGATCACAGGGCCCTGGCGGGGAGGGACGCCAGGAATCGAAGGTGAGGCAGAGACAAGTGACAAGCCCAGAGGGAAGGAGAACCAGAACCAGCCAGGCCTCCTAGTCCCTGAGAAGAATACGAGTGTCTCACCTTGTGGAATAAGGGCCGGTGGTTCTCCTCATGCTTGTCTCTGCAAGCCAGACAAGGGCAGGGATGGTGAACAGGAGCCCGGCCTGCCAACACCCACCACCCCTCCTGTGACAGATATCACTAACGCATCACAGCATTCTTTCCTGCCCAGTCCAACAGGACCTTAGAGTCATTCTAAACACTGCATTCCAGGCAGCATCTAGCAACAGATAAACATCAGCTTATGAAATGAAGCCTACTCAACATATCATGGCTAGTGATTACATCACTTTGACCAAGCTGGGCCTTGGAGCAGCCAACAGAAGGTCCCCACTGAACCTCCTGGCAGATTGAGAAAGAAGAGGAAGAAAAGAGGCTAGGGCCCAGGCGAGGGCAGAGCCTGAAAGTGGTTATGCTAGGTACCTGGCTGTGTGAGGGCTGCGTGTCTGGCACGGTGTCTGACTCACACGTAGTTGGGGTGTACTGCGTGGGCCATGTCAGCGCTGATCATGTAGGACTTGGGTATGGCTTCCTCGAAGGCCGTCAAGTGATGGGGTGAGGCTGAGATCCGCCGCAGCACCAGCTCTGTCAGCAGTGACTGTGCTCCCTGGGCACTCTCGGACCCCACCTGGTGACAGCAGAGACCTGACTCTGGGGGTCTGGGGTAAGGGGCCTGAGCTGTAGCTGGGAGGCCAGGACCCAATGCCATGAATGGTCCAGGACCCCACTGAGTCGGGGATAAGGGGGGTTACACGCAACCTCCCCAACTCCAGGAGCTTGGACCTATGTCACCATGGAAACCCTCACGGTAGGCTGGGGCCTAAGTAATTCAGAGTCACTTCTGTGGCAAAGTTGCATCTACTGGTGTGTTTCCTATACCCAACCCCCTTCCTTCTCCGCTAACCCTCACATCTGGGGCTCAGCACAGGTTCCACACTGCGCCGGTCACTTTTCTTTTATGCATATAACAGAGACTGCTAACTGTTAGAACACTTGAGTTGTAGCTAAGCATCTAATCACCCAGCTGGAGACTACACTCCCTGCCTCTCTTGCAGCTAAACATGGCCCTGCTGAGTTCTAACCAAAAGGGTGTAAGCAGTGATGGATGGTATTTGTGGACTATGACCTTGAAAGGCAAGGCTGTATACTTCTTCTCTGCCCTTTTCCCTCTTCCTAACTCAGTGCAGACATGATGGCAAGAGTTGGAACAGCCACCCTGGATCCCAAGATAACAGCCATGTGTTAATGACGGAGAGACCTATCCTGAATTGCTAACTCTGACCTGTGTAATTACAAGAGAGGAAACAATCTATGTTCAAGCCAACGTATTCTGGAACCTCTATTACGGCATCTAAGACCGGACCCTAACACAAGCGTGCAGAAGGAGGACCTGCTGCATGCTGAGTCCTGGGGCCACAAGGATGAAATGGGCACTGTCCTCGTCCTTGAAGAGCTCACTATGTGGCAGAAGGAGAGAGACAAGAAACATGGTCATGCTAGAAGCAGATATACACGGAGCCAGAGGGGCATCCCCAGTGCTGAGGGAGCACAGGCAGCGTCTCCCCCGTTTGCGGGGCTCCAGGGCAGCCCTGGGGCATGAAGGCCACCTGGCACAAGTCAACTGCGGCTGAGGGATCCCCTCCCCGAGCCCTCCACGTACCTCTTCGTTGTCGTAGAGTGCAACCATGCGCACGTGGGGCTCCGTGGCCAGTGAGGCAGGGGCTGCGCAGGAATCAATCAAGGCCTGGCTCAAGGAGGGAAACGAGAGCATTACCGTCACCGCTGCTTCTTGGTAACTCAGCCCAATGACACCTCAGAGGCTCAGACACCCCTACTGGCCTTCTAGTGCCATGGCCAGGATGAAGTGGGCTTGGGCCTTAGCAGCTCATCTCTTAAGCCACTGCCCAGTGGCGTACATGCTCGGGAACCTTTTCAATTGGGAAGGGAGACACCATCCTTAGGGTGTTCTTCTTCCACACCTTTCCATGCAAAAGGTGAGGAAGATACAGAAGATGGAGGGAAAGACCTGAGAACCCAAAAGTCAAAAGGACTGTGGAGATCATGTAACAAACTGGTCTCAGTTAAAGCACTGAGGTCTAAAAGGGTGACCATGACTCCATCAAGGCCACATGGCTGGCTGGCTGGCTGCAGAAATGGATACAGATCCCAGGTCTGGTTCTGGTTCTTCAGATTACACCCCAACGTTCGTTTCCAGCAACAGAACGGGCAGGGAAGGAGAGGCAGAAAAGCCAGAGGGAGGGACGAGGGCAAGGGGAGAGAAGAAACTGAGCTGGGGTGGAAACAGGGTAGAGAATCAAGGTGACAAGGAGGAAGAGAGACTACCCCACTGAGGTCCGAAGGAATAGAGAAGGCTGGGTGGGCTTAAGCCTGGGGAGGGAAGCAGAGGGAGCTCGGTGATACTGCCCTCTGGGATGATAAGGTGGTACTGCAGGCCTTTGCCTAGAAGTATAGACGGTTAAAAGAAAAGTAACAAGAACAGGGTTAGGACGAGACACCGCGGTGCCCTAAACTTCTCAGCCTTCCCTTCCCTTTGCCCCTAACCCCAAGCCAGAACAAGGGCAGGGGCCAAGGGTAGTGATGCTGAGGCTGCAGTATTTAAGCTCCTTCCCACGACCCACCCAGCACCAGCAGACAGGGTGGCCAGCAGCCCTTTAGTCACCCCCACGACTCTGCCTCTTTCAGTGGTGTGTACTGCCTAGGGTGCCCGCTCCTCACCTGCAGGGCACAGAAGCAGCTGTGCAGATTGTCCAGTCGAGGGGCAAAGATGAACTCCTCATAGGCCCCACCCAGCACCTAGAGACAGGACAGTCAACCTGACCTTCGACCCCACCCCCACTCCCACTCCCCTGCTTCTTCCTGTTCTGAAGGCCTGAACCTGAGCAAGCCCTCTTGGTTTCTTGGGTAACCTCTTCGTGACCCCTGGCTTAAGGCACTATTGTCTCTGCAGGGCAGGGCTGAGCTGAGAGTGGAGAATGGGCTGGCCTAGGGGTGAGGGATGGTGGGAGGGCAGAGGCCTAGAGCACTTGACCAGTTTCTGTGGGACAGGAAAACGGAAGGGCTGAACAGTCACGAACAAAAGCTAAGGACATAAACAGAGAAGGAGACTAACCGAGAAACAGAAACACAGTGCATGTTCAAACAACAAATCTAAAACCAAGCCAAACCCACTGCCATCAAGTCTATTCCAACTCATGGCGACTCCACAAGTTACAGAGTAGAACTGCTCCCTAGGGTTTTCTTGGCTGTAATATTTATGGAAGCATATCGCCAGGCCTTTCTTCTGCAGCACCACCCAATGGGTTCCAACTGCCAACCTTCAGGTTTGTCGTTGAGCACAAACCATTTGCGCCACATCAAGTCTTAGCAATCTCCCACTATCAGAAACTGGGAGAGACACAAGGAGAGGCTCCAGAAAAAGGGGACCACACCCAGGCCTCTTGTCCTCAGAAGTTTACAGCCAGTGTGGGTCAAAGTGTGGACAGGGACTCCCTGCAGCAGAAATGCTTGGGGAATCTATGAAAAAGGCCAATCCTCAGGTCCCACCCTAGAGAATCAAGGTACCAGGTCTAGGGTTGGGAAACTTCCTATTTGAGAAACACTGCCTTGGAGGAGAGCATGGTCATAACTGGGAGAACAGGGAGGGGAGTATTTAAGGGACTGGCAGGCTTAATGAGTGCTCCAGGGGCCAGGCCTGGGTGGGCTGGGGTGACGGGGGCCCTGCCCACAGTCCCTGCAGTATTCCTCACCGCAGGCTGAGTGTCTGCAAGGCAGAGCTCCATCTCCACAATGTCCTCAGAGCTCAGCCCCAGATGAGCACAGAGCAGGGACACAAGGACCGAGTGGTGCCGATCATCCTGCAGGACAGGAGGGTGCTGGGATGAGGGTCTGCTGCTCTCCTCCTCTCCCCTTCTCAGGGGACCCCTCTGCCCACCCCTTTCCCATCATAGGGGTTGCTCTTACCACAGCATTGAGAGGCCCTGGCTCAGGGTTCCCCTTCTCCAGCTCCTCCTGAATGGCTGTGGCAAGAATGGGGACTCTGTGGAGAGGCATGGGGAGGGCTGGTGGGCACAGCCGAGTGGGGCACCCCTGAGTTCAGATGTCTCCCGATGGGGAACCGCCCTTGCCCTTCAACTCCCAGCTCGTTCCCCAAACGGCAGAGCTGTGAGGGTCCCTGGGCATCAATGGGGCCCAAGAGTAGAACTTGACCACAGCCACCGTTAGGTAGTGGCCTTCCAGGTCCCACCCGGGGCCCTTCCACCACATGCTGTCACACCCTTCCCTCCAGCCACCACAGACAGCCCATCTCACAGGTGCATCTCCAAGTTGGGCCCAAAGTTCTCGTTGATATTTCTCTGCAGATGGATGGCCAGGTGTGGGATGCGGAGAATGGGCTGCTCCACATGCACCAGCCGCTGCTCCAGCCGGCCTGAGGTGGGGCACTGTGGCCAGCCAGGCCAGTCAGCACAGGGCATGTACCACCCCGGCTGGTGACAGCTCCCACTTCACCGAGACTAACCAAGGCAGTTTTCTGGTCCCCTCTCCCCAGGAGGGTCTACCCCTCTTCCCCAGGGGGCTTCTCCACGGGTACCCTGAAGGGGGGTGACCATCCATCTTTAGGTCCCCTGTTCCCACCTTGACAATGACGCGTCCAGCCAAGGTCAGGTCACGGTCAAACCACGTGCTCCAGATCCCACCACCATAGGTCTCCACACCCACCTGGTGGAAGCCCACCTGGCTGCGGCGAGACCGGCGTTTCACCTGAGCATGGAGATGGGGAAGGTAAAGTTTGAGAAGGCAGAATGACGAGGCAGAATGACGAGATGTGCTCGTGTGACCCACTGACACAGGGGACAAGACACGACCCTGTCCTCCAGAAGTTCAGTTTCCTGTTGGAGATGAACTTAGACTATGAACAAGTTAAGGAACACAGAACAAAATATTAGTGCCAGATGAAAGGCACAAAGTACACAAAATAACCAAAATAGTTGCCACTAAGTGGATTCCAACTCATAGTGACCCATGCGTGTCAAACTAGAACTGTGCTCCATAGAGTTTTCAATGGCTGTGAACTTTCGAAAGTAGATCACCAGGCCTTTCTTCTGAGGCACCGTTGCTGGGACTCAAACTGCCAATCTTTTGGTTAGCAGCCAAGTGCATAACCACCCATGCCACCCTGGGACTTCGGGAAATAGAGCCCCCCAATTTGTACCTCCTGGCTCTGTTCAGCCACAGACTCCCTCTGACATCCCCCACCCCAGCACCCCCAGCACAGGCCCAGTTCCTTACCCGGAGGCAGGGGCTGTCCGTGTGAGCACCAATAAGGCTGAAGCCATTGCCGGGAACATACTGGCCCCCCACAGCAAAGGCAATGATGGTGGAGGAGTTCCTGGTCAGAAAGTACTGGGGGAGGGGGGCAGGATTAGCCTGTTGGCACACAGGACTTTGAGCCCCTGGCTCTCTGCCCCGATCCCACCCCACTCTACGTACCTTGCTCTCGGGTTTGATTTCCCAGCTGTCGCTCTCCTTGAGTTCACAGAAGCCAGCTTGGAGGAGGCGGTTGCGACACTCAGCCACAGCTGTAGAGGAAGAATGCTCTCACAGCTATTGAAGCCGGTGGGGACCACAGCCGGGTCCTTCCTCCTTCCCTGCCCTGATCACTTACCGTGGAAGGGTGAGGGGCTTCGGTTCACGAACTTGAGGAGTTCCCGGGCCGCGGCCTGCACCGCCTCTTTGCGGGCTCTACCGGTCATGGCCACCTAGGGGAGCGGGACGATCTGACTCCTAAAAGATCTGGGACCTCTGACCTTTTATCCAGGCTCCTAGGACCCCTATCACCACCCGCGACGAAACGGCTCCAAGGCTGAGAACTCTGCTTCTGCCCCTTCTCCACCGAGAGTTCCAGATCCCAGGCCGTATTTCTCCAGCCAGTCACACGGCCCCACCGCGCTCCCAGCCCAGCTAGTCCAGGATGGCCCACCCCCACAATCTGAGATTTGGCCAGCTCCCTAAATCCCACTCCCTGTCCCCGCCCAGCTAGGAAATCCAGGTCTCGGTCCCGAACTCCAGCTCCCTAGCGTGCCCCTAACTCTGAGCCGTGCGCGCCCCATCCTGGAGCCCCCAGCTCCGCTCCCCAAGGCACCCACCTCCCCTCCACCTACCCGGCCCTCGCAGCGGACCTCTTTCCACTCCAGGAAGGGCAGGTCACCCGGGGCTGGGCTTCCGGTTTCGCTTTGGGTCGGACGCGCCCCCGACCTCGGCCTGGGGCTAATAGCCGGCTCGAGCGGGCGCAGGGCTGGGTCTGGCACGGAGACTCGAACTGGGCCGGACTTCGCCACCTATCCGCATGGCCCAACGCTTGGGGCTGCCTCTGCGGGCCGCCCCGCCCCTCGCGCGGCCGCCGTGGGCGGGCGCCCCCTGCCGCCCGGGAGGTGCTCGGGCAGCCGTGAGCCGGTCGCCTCGCCCCAGGACCGACGCGTGCTGTCCCAAGTGCTGTGTCTCTATCCACCGGCACCCTTGTGATAATAACTGCAACATGGCTAGTGTTCTTGGAGCGCTCACAATGAGCTTTAACTTAATCTTAGAACTGCCCTATCAACTTTGTGCTTTCACTGTCTCGTTTTATACGTGAACAAACTGAAATACAGGGAAAAGTTACCTGCCAGTAGTAGTAAATGGCAGAGGTGGGATGTGGACCCAACTGATTTGATTTCGGAGGCCTGGGACATCCGCTATAAAGCTTCTCTCAGATCTTTTCTGGATCTTTTTCTATACAGCCTGCTAAGTATTTATGTTAGGAGTCCTTGGGTGGCACAAACGGTTAGACGCTAGACTACTAGCCTTAAAGGTTGGAAGTTCGAGTCTACCCAGAGGCTCCTGGGAAGACAGGCCTATCTTTGATTCTGAAAGGTCACAGCCTTGAAAACCCTGTGCACACATGGGGTCGTCATGAGTTGGTATCAACTGGACAGCAACTAACAACAACAAAGTATTCCGTTACACAGGAGGGCCCCGTGGGACAGAGGAGTTAATGACAAACAAAAACAGCTCCATGTGCTCTTGGAGGCAATTTCAATATTCCCGTGTCAACAGTGGTAAACAGCGGTTTTTAAGACCCCATGCACTTGCCTAGCCATAGATTCTGATCAGGACTGTTGGTGGCCCCAGAGTTCAAAACAGGGCCAGCCACTAGCAGTGTAATCAACATTCCAGGGATGACAATCTATGGAGCCATCAGCGCTTTAAGTTCCTGGGATGGGAGTGGTGGGGAGTGGGGAGTGGTTGGAAAGGCCCTGCAGCCCTCACTTCAAGTAGTAGATACCACAGGGGAGTTTTCAAGAATACACACACTAGGGGGTGGGTTAAATTCATGGAATTCCCTAGCCATTTATTGGAATGTTATTATGTATAACGGTTCAGTGCTGAGTGGGACATGGAGAGAATATTTTTGTCCTCTGAGAGCCAGAGACTAGCTCCTGGGGAGGAGCACAGTCAAGGAGGACAATGATAGGGGCTAAAACAGGAAGAAATACAATGTGTAAGGGAACCTATTGCCGTGGAGTCGATTCCAACTGACAGTAACCCTACAGGACTGAGTAGAACTGCCCCATAGGATTTCCAGCCAAGCTCTTAACCACTACACCACCAGGGCCTTGCGTAAAGGAGGGAGGGCTTAACTTAAAGTCAACATTTTAATGTTTCTTGTAACTACAAAAGAGTACATGTTCATGTGAGAAATGCAATCATCAGAACTCATAAACTTAGAAAGTGAAAGTAAATGCTTGATAAATTGAACATCCATTCTTATAAAACACAAAAACAGTAACAACAAAAAATTTCCCCCTAAAATGTTCTACATCCTACTTTGATGAGTAGTGTCTGAGGTCTTAGGAGCTTGTGGGCAGCCATCTAAGATACACCACTGGACCCAATACCTCTGGAGCAAGGGAGAATGAAAAAAACCAAAGACATAAGGGAAAGATTAGTCCAAAGGACTAAGGGACCACAATTACCACAGCCTCCACCTGACTGAGTCCAGTACAACTAGATGGCATCCAGCTACCACCACCAACTGCTCTTGACAGGGATCACAATAGAGAGTCCTGGACAGAGCTGGAGAAAAATGTAGAAAAAAATCCAAACCAAAAAAAAAAGACCAGACTTACTGGTCAGACAGAGACTGGAGAAACCCCAAGACTATGGCCCCTGGACACTCTTTTAACTCAATACTGAAGCCACTCCTGAGGTTCACCCTTCAGCCAACAGAACGAGACTAAAGGGCACACCAGCCCAGTGGCAAGGACAAGAAAGCAGGAGGGGACAGGAAATCTGGTAATGGGGAACCCAAGCTCGAGAAGGGGAGAGTTTTGCAATGTTGTGGGGTTGGCAACCAATGTCACAAAACAATATGTATATTAATGGTTTAACAAGAAACTAATTTGCTCTGTAAACCTTCATCGAAAGAACAATTAAAATTTTTTTTTTTCCCTCTTAATAAACCAGGAAGAGAGAAGATAAAGGATACCTGCCAGAAACATAAGAGGGAAATGCAGAAGGGCTCCTATTCAAATCAGAAGTAGGACACTGATTTAGCTGGGACTACTGGTAGCCAAGGTGAGCCTGTAGTTCAGAGTCAGCACAGCAAAACACAACAAAAATAAACAAACAATTATTTATGTGGAAAAGTAAAATTTGTCATTATTTGTAGATGATATGATTACCTACAACTCTCAAGAAAATAGACTAACAAACTATTTGAACTGGTAGAAGAGTCTGGCAAGGTGGCCTAATTAGAAAAGCAAAACAAAACAAAAAATCAGCTTTCCTGTACAATAATCAGCTAGAAAACTTAATAGTAAAAACATCCTATTCACAAGAGCAAGAAAAATGACTAAATTTCTAAGAAATATAAACATATTAGAGTTTCAATATCACTGAAACCAGGGAAATGCAAGTTAAATATAAGATACAGTTTTTGATTTATCAGATTCACAAAAATGAAAAGGATCGGTAGTATCAATCGTTAGAGAAGGCTTGGGATAATTCATGCCTTTATACCCAATTTCTGTGATGTAAATACTCCCCATGGCCAATTTCAAGCTGCCAACATGACGTCACTGAACGCAGAGTTGGAAAGAGATTGCAGGAGCATAACATTATATAGGTTTCCACTACATACATACAAAAAATATAAATAACCTCAAGAGCACGGATTTTAAAATGTAGTAAAATAATTAGGAAGTGATCATGTTTGAGTATTTCTTAAACCTCTGTTTTTAATATAATTTATTACTTGTAAGTCTATAGAGTTTAATTTTTTGTTGATGGCTGTGTTTAATGAGCAGTTCACAAAATTCCTGAAAATTTGACAATCAGCTCTCATGAGCTGGTACACGTTGGCACCAGCACACAGCAGTCACCCATACTCTACTATCCTTGGTAGTCAAAGTTTGAGCAGCATCAGCAACACCTGGGAGCTTTTGAGAGATGCAGAACCTCAGGGCTCATCCCAGACCTACAGAATCTACACGTTAACAAGATCCCTAGATGATCTGAATGCACACTAACATTGACATGCTGTGTATTACAGTACCACTTGGCAGTAAAATATAATGTGAGGTTGATCGTTATATATTGTCATAGAAAATGTTCCAAATGTATTGTTGAGTGGAAAAAAGCAATTTCCAGAATAATATTTACAGGGCAGGCACATATAGGTAAAACTCACACAATGGGCTAAATTTCTGTATTTTGTATAAATATATGTTAATGTTTGGAAACAGGTTTGGAAGGAGAGTGGTCACCTCCAGATAAGGGAATGGTATTGGGTGTGGTGTGGGTGTGGGAAGGTCAAAGGGAGGGCTTTGGCTATACAAAAAAAGTTTCTGAGAATCATTCTCCCCCTCAATCTCCTGGGAAAATCTTCCCCACCAGCCCTTAACTAGTGTTTACAATGCTACCATTATTGATTTATCTTTTTGTTTTAGCAAATATTAAATGTGAAATCCTGTGCTTTGACACATCTGTCAGTTATGCACACTTGAGTGTGAATTTATTTGACATACATGTCCTTTCTGATCCATTAGTTTATCTGAGCAGCTTCCTAAGTAGTAATTTATCACATAATTGTCAACAGTGATTTGGAATAGAGAAGACCAAAGCAATGCTGTAAGGAAGAGAAGGTAGGTTGTGTGTGTGTGTGTGTGTGTGTGTGTGTGTGTGCGCGCGCGCGCGTCCTGCCCCAGTCAGCTAAAATGGGGGCAGTGAGGGGTTGAATCAGATCTTGATTTCCTGACGCCAAGATACCCCTAGATTATCTCATTGCTGGTAGATATCCTGGTTGTTTAAATACTCAGTTATTTAGAAATAAAGACTTTGCCCCCGGGTATAATGATACTTGTTGCCATCTAGTTGATTCCTAGTCATAGCGACCCTATGGTACAAAGCAGAAACGCTCCATAAGGTTTCCAAGGAGCGGGTGGTGGGTTTAAACTTCCAACCTTTCCATTAGCAGCCTGAGCTCTTAACTACTGCACCACCAGGGCTCCAGCGACCCTACAGGACGGAGTAAAACCGCCCCATAGGGTTTCCAAGGCTATAAATCTTTACGGAAGCAGACTGCCACATTTTTCTCCCTCAATGTGTTGGTAGGTTTGAACCACTAACCTTCCGGTTAGCAGCCTAGCACTTAACCACTGCGCCACCAGCCTCCTTCGGGTATAATGATAGGAACTTGCATAACATGGTACAATTTTTCTGCTTACAGTGTTGCTGGAGGGGCACTTTAGTTTCTAACACACTTCTGCCCACGTGCTGCTTTCCATAAGACTTAACTGCTTAAGAACTACAAATCCCAGGATGCATTGAGGTAGGAGATTTGCGGGTGGAGATTATAATTGGCGCAGTGATTAAGCGCTGCAGTTGCAGGTCGGCTGTTCGAATCCACCAGCGGCTCCTTACAAATCATATGTGGCAGTTCTGCTCTGTCCTATAAGGTCGCCATGAGTCAGACTCGATTCCACGGTAACTTTTTTTTTTTTTAAAGGGAAGGAGCCTGGTGTCGCAGTGGTGAAGCGCTTGGATGCTAACAAAAGGTCGGTCGTTGGAACCCACCAGCGGCTCCCGAGGAGAAAGCTGTAGCAATCTTCTCTAAAGATTGTTATTGTAACAACAATAGGTGTTGTTAGGTGCCCTCTAGTCACTTCCCACTCATAGCAGTCCCACGTACAACA